CTCTCTCTATATATATATATATATATATATATATATATATACACAACACATGTATGGAAACATGGCACGTACTTTAGTCCAATTATCTTGCATTACAACATTACAAATAAAATTATTTTGCAAAATGTCATGTAAAATGAGGTGTCATTATCCATGTGACTGATATTAGTTCAGATATGGAAATGTAAAATCAAGTTGTGGTATGCAGGTGTTGTATTCTGTAGATTTTGGTCATGTATGTATTCTAGGCATACATATTTGCACAGTGCGCACAGCATACATGCTACATACTGCAAAAATGAAGTAGGCTATTCCAAATACGTTCTTTCTCTTTCTTTTCAGTCAAGACTTTTACACTTTCTTTTAATCTATTACCATTTGTCTGCAATGCCTGAAGAAAGCTGTCTGTTAGCAATTCCATTCATCTAGCCTATATCAGCGTTCATATCAAGAAGAGAATGATTTTACATCGCAATTGGTATACGTGTTTACATAAAGACGTTTAGCGAGGTAAAATTAATAATCAGATAGGCAGACAGACAGCAAAACAGTCATCTTTGGAAGCGAAAGGTGCAAAATAATTAATGCAGTCGGAGTATGTTTTCTCGGCTGACTCCGCAGGACTGGAATGATCCGTGAGCGTATGTTAGTGACTAGACTGAATTGTTTTGGACAGGTGAAGGATGGTGCTTTTTCTTCAGCCCGGTCAGAGTGACCCAGATTGTTGTGTGTGTCTGTGACTTGACAGGTGCTGCGAGTCTCCTGCAGAGAGCTAACGAGAGAGAGAGAGACAGACTGCGCTGTCTTGAGGTGTGTGAGAGAGACAGACTGCGCTGTCTTGAGGTGTGTGTGTGAGAGAGACAGACTGCGCTGTCTTGAGGTGTGTGTGAGAGAGACAGACAGCGCTGTCTTGAGGTGTGTGTGAGAGAGACAGACTGCGCTGTCTTGAGGTGTGTGTGAGAGTGACAGACCGTGCTGTCTTGAGGTGTGTGTGAGAGAGACAGACCGTGCTGTCTTGAGGTGTGTGTGAGAGAGATAGACTGCTCTGTCTGAGGTGTGTGTGAGAGAGACAGACTGCGCTGTCTTGAGGTGTGTGTGTGTGTGTGAGAGAGAGACAGCGCACTGCGCTGTCTTGAGGTGTGTGTGTGTGAGAGAGACAGCGCACTGCGCTGTCTTGAGGTGTGTGTAAGAGAGACACTGCACTGTCTTGAGGTGTGTGTAAGAGAGACACTGCACTGTCTGAGGTGTGTGTGAGAGAGACAGACTGCGCTGTCTTGAGGTATGTGTGTGTGTGTGAGAGAGAGACAGCGCACTGCGCTGTCTTGAGGTGTGTGTGTGAGAGAGACAGCGCACTGCGC